ACAGGATGTTGAACACTTTGAAATATTCATTTTTCGTGAAAAATTAATAATCTCTTAGTTGGCCTTGATGAAAATTGCTGAATATTTGCTCGCATATAGTCCACCCTTCTTTCCCTTCTTCTTCTTTATCCATATATGTATATGCGTGCCTATAAATATAGATAGGCGGTTAACCTTGTGATCGTTTTCCGTCCGAACTATTTGTCTTAAGTATTTTCGTTAGTCTGCAATCATTCAATTGATTTAGATGTTTATTCCTATATCATCTTCTGTTTTTAACCCATGTTATTATGTTTTCAATATTACTTTGGTATCTAATGCCTTCATTCCTTATTCTATTCTTTAATTTATCAACAGGTAAGGTTCTTAACACCCTCGTTTCTACATTGTTCAACATTTGCATAGTTAAAGACGAATTTGCCCTGACTTCCACTGCAATACTGGCCCACATATACTTGATCCTCCAAATTACATCCCTTAGACATCCTTCTGCTATTTTTATTTACAATGTCAGCTTTCTGTTTTTTAAGCTGTAGATTCATCGCACTCGTTATTTCAGTTCCCAAATATCTAAGCCTTCTAACCTGCTCTATTACCTTTCCATCAACCGCCAGCATACCTGATGAATTCGTTAGATGTGACCATGCATTTTATGTTGTTGGCAAGTGTATAAAAGTCACTGCAAGCTGTCCTCGAAAACTACAAACAACCCAGCGTCATCTGCATATCACCCTATGTTTAAAACGTATTGTTCATTTTGGAACCTTATACTTTTTTAAGAGCTTCAGTTAGTTTGCCCTTATGCCAATCTTGATGTTAACTTCTACCCTTTAAATATGCTCTGCTCTACTTATTTGTTAGTTTTACATTCTTGGGTTATTTGTATAATTCTATCCAACGTGAGTCGACAATATTCTTTATTTTAAGTCTGTCAACGGCTTTCGTAAAATCAACGAAGAACATGAACGTTAGTTTATTGAATACTATTTTTCACTTATCTGTCTTGATATGAATATGCCATCTAAAGTCGAACTGTTCCTCCTTAGTGCTGCTCCCGTATATTGATATATTACTGATTTCGTAATATTATTTTTGTGAGAGCTTTTAGACAGTTGTTCAGTGGAATAATTCCGCGCTAGTTTTCTGGCACCGTTTTCTCGCATTTTTTAGTATTAGTAACGTTATTCTGGTCTTTCAGCCTTTCAGTATCTTACAGCTCGCACAGATGCAAAGAAAAAATGAACAGTCCGACGATCTAGATGGAATTGACCATTTTGCTTGCTAAGTTTCAATAAACTTCAACAAATTCGGCTGGAGATTCATTATTATTCCGACTAAATACAGATTTTCAAGAAATCGGGCGAATGTTTACATAAACTTTTCTTCTTACAATCCTGTTAAAATTCACCCCTTGATGTTTGGACACCCTATACCTTTCCCACTAATTCACATTTACATATTTTTTGAAAGGTCAAGATAGTTGAAATAGTCTGAGAGTGGCAGTTAAGAATTTTAACGCAGTCTTTTGACTGTCGAACGCGGAGGTACCACTCGACGGGGCCAGAATGTGTGCATGTTGCATGCGCGTCCTTCGTTAGAGTCTGTGTCCCTCCCTCTTTCCCCTATATCCCCCTTTGGCCCTACGGTACCCATAAGTGTTTAGGCCTTAGACCTTCGTGGTGGTTCGAGTATAAAAAGAGCATACTCGGTTAATCGCTTCCAAAAATGCAGGATAAAGACAACATACCACAGAGTTTTGATGATTAGCTGACGATAGAAATGTCACCCCTTTAAAAAAACTAGAGTTCTCAACTGCCACCCTTACACTCAAATATATTATTTATGCATCGATTTCTTAATCCTAAATTTTAATTTGCCTTCTTGATAAATTCGATGAACAGTTTGCCGGGGCGGCATTAAAGAAAGTCACTGAATAATGAAAACGTACAAAGGAAGAAAAAGGACAAATGTAGAAATCACGTATCTCCACCTATCCGAAATATGGCAGGTTACGAGACCTACTAGGTTTACGTGGCAAATAAGAGTGATATCCGGAGATATTTCAGTCTCTACGTGAAGCTTCTAGAATGGAAAACCGAACAGTAAAGGTATCACCAGCATATTGTCCGTAACAAAGAACAACCATTTTTCATTTTGCAGTAATGTACACGACTTCTATAATTTTTCAGCATTGCCACAAAAGCAATTTACCACCAAGGTAGACAGATTTATCGCAGGACATAAACCTTCGCAAATTAAATAGACGAAATGTATTTTACACTGGAGGCAAAGAAAAGTTTTGCTAGCCCGCAGAGCACAGTTGATGGCTCAGAAACAAACTTTCTCATAAGTATAATGTTGAAGTTTATCTTGATTTTGGGAGTTACACAAAGTCACTTCAGAACTAGTTTAATATCGGTGGGCGTCTGGAAATTCCGAAACATCTCGATGTCGAACTGGATCTGCCGCATTGTGGCTCAGCAATGTGTAGTATCAAAAGTTGAAATATTATTTATTAATTTAGTACCTTCATCGTACATAACTCATATAAAGAGTTAAATCCTACTGCCAGAACTCTATTAACAAAGAGCGCCGTCTGTATCTCATGAACCATTCGCCCTAGAACTTTTATTTTGAAAGTGCTTACGGAGACTTACGAAACAATTCCATTACAAATACTTGTGGCCTATTTGTGTAGTGTATTAACCAGAAATAGCACGAAAAAATAATAAACATGTGTCTTAAAATGCCGCCATATCGGGAAATAGGATGTTGAAGTTTTAACTTTGGAATCGAAAAACTATATCTCAGAAGGTATCGTTTGCAAATTTTGCACAGGTAGTATTTATTAACAGTATGCTCAATGCATAAAATTTTTTTTACAATTCAAATTGCTCCAGTGAAATCGAAGAATACCTTTTAACCAATAACTTTGTTCAAGCTGGCAAAGCTTGACGTAGTTCAGATAGTATGTAGTAGGACAATCCCATTTCCTTATGGCGTGATTTGACAAATATCCATGTTTTGTCCTTCATCAGTCCCATCAATGAAATGCAGATATACAACAACCTGTATCTAGGCAACGGTGCATTTCAGAATCTCCGTTTATAGGTAATATTGGTAGTTTCTTTGCAATCACTCTGTATACAGATATACAGGGTGATTGTACTGCCTTTTCTGCCTTTTCAATAACCGTGTATATAGATATACAGGTTGATTGCAAAGACAGTACCACTATGATGAATATGTATTTTTGAAGAAATTTGTTTTTTTTTTATCTCGGTACATTAAACTCCACGGGGATATAAGCATGATGTCAGGCATAATCCACAAAGCTGCGATAAGTGTGATACAGTATCTTTAACATGTCAATTGTTTTAGATGAGTCGAGGTTTCATTTTTATTTTTTTCCGTCCGATGGAAGTCCCCGATGGCACTGCAGTCTAATCAACACCCTGGTTTGTGAAATAATTGTAAAGTTTGCTCTTATTGATGCAAGCTGTTCAAGGGGGCATTTAAAACATGGACGCATAAAATAGGTACACCAGTTTTTGTGGGAAAACTTTTTATTCGACAACAAATAATGAATAAACGAGCTTTTTGGAATTTATTCACAGCAACCAAAAAAACTCTTCAAAAAAGATTTTTAGGTACTTGCGAGACCTACAAAAAATATCCAACTAGTAGCAAAAAAGTAATTACCGAAAACCTAGGCAAAATGCAGGTTTTGGCGCTTGTTGGTGATGCGACGATAGTTTCACGCAGCTACTTGACATTCTTCAAATCCGTAGGCCTTATTGGTTGGTAAAGGGATATGTCCAGATGGCGTCTGTCACGTAACGCTAATCGGTCCGAAGCTGCCTCAATATAGAACATGAGAGGCCTTTATCTTGCCTTGGTCTCTTAATGTTATTTTTTTGTATGAGTCTTTGAGACCTCCAGGACTCTTTTACCCTTTGTCTGACTCTGCACCTCCGGTTTAGCTTCCTGTGGGTAAGTTTATCCAAAGGACCCTTGCTCCCCTTGGCTTTCTTCTTGTTTTTGTACGGATTTTGGTCCGCCCAAGTCCCCTCTGCCATTTTCCTAGCTTTCACAAGCTACTTCCTTTGGGCTCCTGAACGCTTTGTCTATTCTTCTTTCTACAGTTCCATCCCACTGATATCTGCAGAACTGGATGCTGCGGGTCCTTGCGTCTCGCCAAATTAATCACTGTCATATCCTGAATTAACTGCCACGACAGTATCTTTCTCGGGAGTTCCGACCGAAGAGTCCGTGTCCCTCTCCGTTTCCATGATTTCTTCTTCTTCATCTTTTTGTTGTTTTCCCTGGTCTATATTGTTCCCACGAGTACCGAGTTGCTACAGTCCATCCTCCCAGTGACTCATTAGGAAGAGTAGGAATAATTCCGACTGGGTGCCCCTGGTCCGACAAGGTTCCATTCAAGATACCGTTTCCTCCTGGTGTCAATCAGCCCTCAGCATGGAGCCCATAAAAAGGATTCTAACCTTGATCCGCCAGGATTAGCGTTACATGGTCACTGCATGAAAGGTGCAAAGGGTTGCACGTTGACGGAGGGATGGTCAGAGGTTTTATTATCTGACCATCCCATGCGCCCTCCCAGACGGTCGTAACACTCCCCTGGGGATGGAATAGCCTCCAGATATTAGGTTTCGATATCTCTTTGAGGGCCACCACAACCTCTAACCCCATTTTTTTCTTCATAATACTATCATTAACTATCTAACCTATTAGTTTTTGTGAGGATTGCATAAAATGTTCCTCAGAGAATTTCTGGCTCTGTACATATTAAAATTGTACCTCAATAGTAGGAACTTCTATTTAAAAATAGGCACTTTATTATAAAAAAATTTATCAAACATTTCTAAACAATCTGATTGTTTCTCGAGATACAGCCTGCGACATCTAAAAATATCTTACCAGATTACCTATAATTATCACAATCAGCAAGTATTCTTAAACGCATTTTCTATCAATACAAGTGTATACCACGAAAATCGCATCAGATTTTCCCGTTTCCACAAAGTAAATGAGCTTCCGTTCGATTTAGCAATGGTAGCAGTGAAGCACGATAGATATTAGCAGCTAAATTATCCTGGCCCCTTACAACTCCAGATGATTTAATTTCCAGATCCTGCTGGCCGGCCAGAACGTTAACGACAACGAATTCCACACGGTTCGACTGTCCAGGCGGGGATCCAATTTGAAGCTACAGCTCGATAGCCAATCGCCTATAAGGGGTAAGCAGTGACGTAGAGCATAACATTTCTTCTAAAATATTTGTGTATTGAGAGCGCAAGTAGCTGGTGTGTGTTCGCCTAACACATAAGGAATTTTCTTCAACCACCACAATTTACCTTTTCCTATAGGTACTAGTGTTGTGAAAATGTCAGTGCATCCATTAGCATTTTCATTCGAGTATTTAATAACAACTATGTATTTATTTATCCATGTATACTTTTTATAAGGATACGAAACGTCAAAATTACATAACAAATACAAAAATACATAGTTTTTAGGCAATGTGAACTGAAAACCATAAATTAATAACAATGAAATAAACGTCACGTTATGGACACAAAAAAATATTATTAGGATATGATGATGATGGTTATGATGATTATAAGTGAAACATTTTACTCACAATACTCAATCAAGCGAGAAAATCAGTGCAGTTAAAAAAATTAGGTTTCGTTTAACAGATTTCTTAGCTTTCTTATTGATTGCGGAAGCCTATTGTAGTGAACTACCAAAACATAAGGGACTATGTTTAAATAAAAAATGGCGTCAAGTAAGTTAAGTCTGTTCTTCCACTAACTTGGATTGTCGATTTAATTCCTCTTTGTGTTTATACAAATGTTTTTTTGATATTTGAATTGTATGTTATGTTTGTGTGCAAGTATTTCAGACAAATATTATTCCGTTGTGAGTTGGACGCTTGTCCATCGGGGGGACGACGTCGCAAGTATCGACACCCGACTGTATGGGATATTTTGAAGCTCGATGATGAGTGAAATATGCCCAATATCCGCGCAGAATTACTGGGGTTGGAGGAGTATGAATATTCCAACGTCAAAAAATTGAGATACATCCGTTCCCCTGCAATACCCGATTTTTTAACCCCTACAAAAATGTTTCTGTAACGTTAAAAACGAAGTATGGGCGATTTTTATTTTTGGGTTTTTTCCCCACCGCCACTGGTCAGATTTTCAAAAACTACAAAGCTTTGGCATAGTAGCAACATTGAGTAAAAATGTCATCGAAATCCAAGCAGTACTTCTCAAGTTATAGATTAGCGGACAGATCGACGGAAATAAGTGACATGGTGTTTTCGTGGCATGCATGCATTTTCGAAAATTTTCGCGATTACAGTACTTCCTCGCCAGTAGTCGCGGGAAGAAAACTGAGTTGAAGTTTCGTAAATAAATGTTTTGTTTAGTTTTAGTATCGTAATAATGAACATTACTCTGAGAGAGCTCCCTGCAAGATTCTACTCTACTCTATGTTCGGTAATTTGTTTAGCACTGGAAAGTACTTTTAACTATTCAGGCTTTTCACTCAGAGAAGTATTCACTTTATCAAAAATAGTTATACAGACGCTGCAAGCGCGACGCTAGAACATGGATGCTAAATACGCGCCGTTGAGGACGCGCTGTTGAGTGGTTGCTATGTACACCATATGTATTTGGGTTACTAATACGATGAATTTGCATTGTGTTACATTTGGTAAATATTCAATTCAACCAGACCTTTTTTCGTGCAACTGACCGTAATTCTGTACCCCTTTAGAAAGCCGCCTTGTTTAGTGAGTGGATGATGAACAACATTGTCAACTGCGTTGTCAACTGCATTGTGAAATGCTTGAATTTTGATCTGGTTGCTTGTCAACCTGAAATATAATTATTTTTATCTATATTTAAGCGCCCTGAAATTCTTCAACATAAAAACAACTATCAACTTTGGGGAAAATTTGCTCTAAGCATCTTTCAGAATAACCAAAGTAATCTAAAAATTACCAGAGAGTAAAGACTCTTAGATGGCTGATTCAAAAATGTAGTCAAATAGACTGACTTAATAGTTCTTGCAATTTGAAACAAATCTATTAACATTCTAGTACTAGAGATATATCATAACGCGTTTTTTCTAAACTTTCTAGCCTCTGATTCTCTTTCTACTACGCCCCAAGTGACCATAAAGTTGAAAGGGAATTGTCGAATTTACTAAAAATATTGGCATATTTTTCTAATACGGCCAAACACATTTAAAAAATGAAGTTTGGGAATCTGAAATGTTCGGTATTTGGATCAAGACTCCTCCACCACTAGACCACTTTTCAAAACCTACAGGTAGCGCAAAATGAACGTTATGGTATATGGTATATGGTTATGGTATATTTTCTGTATTTTTCAATATTACATTGAAAATCAACAATCCGTTGTATTAACCCAGCGTGCATTTCGTCGCTATTTTGATGTGCGGGATGGACCCTCAGTGCCGACAATTAATCGTCTCGTTGCAAATTTTCGACATCACGGGATAGTACTGAACCGTCGTGGTGCTGGAAGACGACGTGCAAGCTGATGAAAATATTGAAAGTATACGTGAGAGTTTACAGTAAAGTCCAGAAACCTCAACAAGGAGGTGTTGGACAGAACTTGGGTTATTACGACGGTAAATGCATGCAAAATTCAGCTTGTGCAGGCATTTAAGCCGGTAGACTACCAACCATTGTCTTTCGGCAAAAAGCAGAATAAAATCCTAATTTCATTCATAACTTAATAATGAGCGATGAAGCCCATCTCCAACTAAATGATTTCATCAACAAGCAAAACTGCGGTATATGAGCTACGAAGTACCCAAGAGCAGTTCATCAGCGAGCATTACACCCGTTTGGTGCGGTGTATCATCCGAAAAGATATCTTTTTGAAAGTGAAGACGGTGACGCAGTTTCCGTCACTGGTGCTCAATATCGAGTGATGCTTCAAAACTATTTAAAGCCAGCTGTGGAAAAATATCAGAATATTTGGTAACCAACAATATGGAGCTACAGAGAGTCAATGGCTCTGTTAAAGGACATTTTTGAGGATCGCATTATTTCGCGCAGATCCGATATCAATTAGCCTCCACGTTCACCGGACTTAACCGCTCCTTTGGAGATATTTGAAAGACCGCATTCCTAACTAAATCGCGGCAATAACACCCGAAGTCTTTCGAAAGGTGATGGAGAATGTTCTGCAAAGAGCACGAATATGTGAAGCCAAAAATGGCCACCACTTGCGAGATATCTTCTTTCATACCTAATTCCCCATTAGTATAGCATATTTGAAAAGTTGTTTTATTTTAATTACTGCTCGAATAAAGAAGTTATGAAGAATTTAAATCATAACGCTCATTTTGTGCCACCCTGCACAAAGCTTTTCCATCTTCGGCATGGAAATAACTTTTGTCAAAATTTAATCATAATCCGCATAAGTATCATGTAAAAAACCTATAAAACGTCAAAAAAAACCTATAAGATGTCATATTGCAAACTAGATAGTGTTTAGAGCTCAAACAGTCATTTCACGTTTGCTCACTAGGATCGTTGTGAACGTCCATCTAAGGAAGAATCACTCAACTAAACTAAACGCATTATTGGTTGCATATGTTTTGTGAGACCAAACGGTTCTTGTCTGTAGTTTTTATCTCTGAGAAGAAAGTTGGTTGAATAGCAAGACCGCATCTGGATGATTATGTGTATTGGTCTGCATGTGTATAAAATCAGTGATATTTGCTGTGTGAGAAAACCATTACTGAATATGCTGCCAATGATGTATATCTATTGCCTAGGCCCGACGTGTTATTTTTATGTTGTGCTTTCTGAAGAGAGGTTATGTTCAAAGCTATAAATTACGAAAAACTGAGGAGAATTGCGGAAAATCATCACTGCGCCCGCGTTGTGTGTAATTACTGTTAGCATGTATATGGCTTGTAATTCGACAGTGTACAGTGAATATAATTATTTCTTATCTCTCATTTCTGAAATTCAGCAAGTTTGTATATGTAATTTCCAGAATGGATAAGAAAAAGTGAATGCGCAACTAGCTTTGAATCTCAGTTAAGTGTATTTGAGACAAGTATCCAATGTAATTATCATCAACACATACAACTTACAGCTTAGACCTCCAGTAATGCCATCTCAGAAGCAGATTTTACATCACATCAGAGCCAAAGATTGATAACAAGCCTCATGACGTTTAGGCAACACGTACAACTAAGTGCTAAGTTAATATCTTGTAGAAAAACCTACATAATGTCAAAAAACCAGCATAATCTCACTTTTCAAGTTACGTGATACCCATGCCGATCAGCTACTTCAACGCCATAGAAGGGGTCAAGATCTATCCGACAGACAACATACAGATGAGATACTCTATCATATCTGTGTCATTTCCAAATGAATCGAAAATATATGTAACTATTATGTCTAACAGGTTTCAATAACAGGATGTTTTTAACTGACTCCGAATATGCACCATTTACATCCCTCCACCTTCTGCAACCCCCAATCGCCATTTTCAATGAGGTTTCACGGTTTTATTTTTGTTTGTTCGCCCGAAGTTCCGTCGCCACTGGATCAATTTTCAAAACCCACAGAGCATGTGGTACGTTTTTGTTTCTTTTATACTCCCACGAAGGCCTAAGTCCTAAACACCTATGGGGTAGCGTGGGGCTATAGGGGGATACAGGGGAAAGCCACACGGACTCTGGCGACGGAACACGTGTACATGCAGCATGCACACATTCTAGCCCCGCCTACGAGATCCGCCGTGTGGTACCTCCGCGTTCGACAGTCAGAGAACGTCTACCACCTAGGGACAACCATCCATAGCCAAGAGATAAAAATTCTCTTGGAAAGGATCAAAGATTAGCTGACAGACAGACAAACGAACACACGGGAAGATTGAAATAAGTAACATGGTCATGATGAGCATATCATATAACATCCATAAAACATGGCATCTATCTCATTTTCAAAACTCCGATTATAAAAAGGTACATCATAATCAAATTCGAGTATTCCTCCAAAGATTATAGTAATGGGTAAAAATTATACCTCAAACTTGATTCTCATAAATTCTGAATTGCAATATTATATCACGTGAAATAGTAGCGGCTTGGTACAAAGCAAAAACTGGCCCTCTCACTAATAGTGAAGATGACAAATGTCATCTTGAAATTCTAAACTAAACCTTGAAGA